CCCCCCTCTCTCGTTCTCATTCTCTCCCTCTCTCCCTCTCTCTTTCCCTCTCTCTTCCCTCTTCCTCTCTCCCTTTTTTTCTCCCTCTTTCTTTCTCCCTCTCCCCCTCTCTCCCTCCCTCTCTTTCTCTCTCTCTCAATCACCCTCTCTCTCCTCTCTCTCTCTTCCTCTCCCCCCCTCTCTCATTCTCATTCTCTCCCTCTCTCCCCTCTTTTTCTCTTTCTCCCTCCCTCTCTTTCTCTCTCCCTCTCTCGTTCTCTCTCTCTCTCCCCCTCTCTCTTTTTCTCTTTCTCTCTCCCTCTCTTGTTCTCACTCCCCCTCTCTCCCTCATTCTCTCTTTTCCTCCCTCCCTCTCTCTTTTAAAACAGACGAAGCATCTCCATGAATTTATTTAAAGAAAAAAAGGAGTGAATGTGTGATCGAAAGAATGAACGAACAAATTATAGGGGAAAACAACTTTGGTTCTAAAACTTGCAACCTTTGCTAATATGTTCACTGAAAACAGCCATTCATTTCAGCTTGGTTTAGACTGGCATGCTAATAATTCAAAAGGGCAGAGCAGGGCGTAAGAGAATGCCAACAGAGAGGAAGTCCAACTTCTATACAATTGGAGAAAATCCATGCTTAAGAATGCAAGTGTCACCCAAAAGGGGCTGTTTCATCATAAATTAATTAATACAAGTCTACCTTTACTGTAACGATTGTCTAGATAAGAGTTATGGAATGGTTATTATTATTTTTTTAAAAAAGATTATGTCAGGGAAGGAAATACATTTGATTAGATTACATAACAATAAATCTACGTTTTTATTACAAAGTATGTACTGTATTAACGGATATCCAAGCAAGATATCCACACTACTATGCACAATTGAAGCCAACATGTTTTATTTTTCAATTTTATTTTGAACATCTCCGGCTTGGCATTCCATAATACAACAACTATCCCTGCCATGTGGATAACATCCAACCCACGAATATGCTATAAAAGTTGTCTTAGCAGAAGATCCCATCCCGCCATCACTTCCCATACGCGGCAAACATATTGTGGATCCAAATGTCTAGAAAATATTGCATTAGAAATCTATTATGATCAATATTTGTGTGTGTGTATCTATCTATCTATCTATCTATCTATCTATCTATCTATCTATCTATCTATCTATCTATC